TCCAGCAGTCCCCGCCGTGCCCCAAGCCCCGCTGGCTGAAGTTCGGGAGCAGGGCTGGGAAGGCAGCTGAGTCAGACAGTCCATCAGTGGCCACAGCCAGCGGGCTCTGGCACAGGGTGGGCAAACTCATGCCCACCAACTGCAGCCCCGGGACGAGGCGCTGGTCAAAGCGTGGGGGCTACTCTGGGCAGCAGAAGCCCCCACGGGGGCTGCAGGGGCAGGGGACCGGGCCACTGACCACGTGTGTCACTTATTTTGTGATTTTCTCACACTTTTTCCCCCCCCTCAAGCCCACAACGATCCCGCCTGGCTGTCATCAGCCTTCTCAACACTTGGCACCAAACTTGTTGATCCCACGGGCTTCCTGCGCTTCTAATGGAGCTTGAAATTAGTGAGTTTATTTTCTCCATGTCTTTGCCAGCTGCGCTGGCACCGCACGGCTTGGGGTGAGCTCACCAGCTGCAGCAGCACCCCAGCACTTGGCTGTGCTGGGAAGGGGCTGGATAGGGGTCGGTTCCACGTAACAGGCACGTTGCAAAATAAGAGGAACTATTCTGGAAAACCAAGTGCAAGGGCAACAAGGTACTATTGCATCAAACCCCACATTTCCAGCCTCCAGGGCACAGGCACTGGGTGCAGGCAACGCGTTTCCTCATCAGCAGAGGAGCTGATTGCTGCCAGCTTCGTTAAGCACATCCCTGCCAGGGTGAGAAGGGAGGCTGGGAGGGGCTGTGGGAAAGGCAAAGGGACCTTCTGGGCTGATTAGTCCTTCTGGGCTGATTAGTCCAGAAATGAAGTGCCGTCAAACAGCAAGAATAGGGAGTAAAAACAAGTGTCAGAACATCTGCTCTCCTAAAACAGTGACACACACAAGCTGAATGGGTTGGAATCATATTTAATGCAAAAAAATAGGAACCTCGTGCATAAATAATCTACCAGTAGATAGCTACTGAGAAAAACAAAAAGTTAAAAAAAGCCCTAATCTAGAAGAAAAGAAAAAACACCCTTATCTAGAAGGGGAAAAAATGCTTGAAAAATAAAACACTGGGGCACGTTTCTGCAGAGCATCCTTGGCACATCAAGGAAATCAAGTCCATCTCATGACACTGAGCCGTGAGGGGCGGAAAAGGTAAATAAATGTGCGATTGTGGGGGTCCACGGCTGCTGCCATTCCTGGGGTCTGGCTTTGGGAAGAGGGACCCCCTCGCTCTGTCCCCGTTATGCACAAAGCCACGCTCCGGGGCGCCTGCAGCAAGAGCAAAAGCCCCGGAGGAACCGTGTGCTGCAGAACAGCTCTGCCACTGCTGTCCCACCCGAGGGAGCGCTCCCTGAAATAAAACACCCAGGTGGAAGTAAAATGGCTTTTTTTATCTGGGTTTCTTTTTTTGGTGGTTGTTTCTTTTTATACTAGACTCATGGCTGGACCCAGAAACCTGGCAAAATCCTTCCCCATGTCCCGTCCTGACTTTCCGACCCAGAGAAGGGAGCAGGTCCCG